GTGTGTGTGTGTGTGTGTGTGTGTGTGTGTGTGTGACAGACAGAGAGACAGTTTATCTATATATCTATGAGCGTGAGAGAGCAAAAGAGTGTGTAAGTGCATACTATGATCCTGTTTTCTTATATTCTGTACCAACGACTCAAGATTGTATTTGCCAGTCTAATTTCCTTGTCTTTTGACCAATTTTTATTGAAGAGTGTGATAACTTTATCCAGTATAACAAATAGACTGTGTTCAATGATCTAGGACATTGACTACCTGATCTCTCCATGAATTCTTTATCCATGAATTCTTTATCCTCTCATGAAGTTTGTGACAGTCTTGTATTGTTATGATGGATTCAGACCATGAAAGAAAAGCTCTGATTGTGTTTGACAATGTTTATACTATGAAGGGTTCCATCGTAAAACGGTCTATGTCAAATTACTAGAAAACTGAGATATAAATGAAAGGGGAGGGGGGGTGGGGATGGGGGAGAAAAACTTATCCTCTGAAAACGAAAGCATGAACAAAACCTACTTTTATCATTCAAATATATCGAAGAACAAAGAGCATTTTGAGGAGGAAAAACTTTTTTAAAAAAAACATTCTTACGACAAGACTAATCATAAGACTATGGAGTGAACCCATTTTCCCGGAAACGCTCAGATATGCCGTATGATCGTTTTGCAATGGGACCCTTCGTATATTTTTCCGCTTGATATTTTTCCAAATTTGATGACGGGTAAAACAGAATATTGTGATTTAAAGTGCTCTTAATTCCTGATTGTTTATAACGGACCGAATTAAGCACATAAATTTGTTTTTTTTAAATGTATCTGCCATGTCAAAAATCAACTCAAAACTCGGTGTCATATTTTCCTATCATCGATGACCGACACTAAGCGTGTATGTGCGTCTACTCTACATTCATCTCCAGGTAACGGACAAAATAACTGCTACTACTACTACTACAACTACAACAACAAAATATAAGTATAAGTATAACTCTGTCCTATAGCTATAGCTACAACGGCAACAACAACAACATCATCATCATAACTTCTATTTTTTTTCTATATCAACCAGAGTTGCTCAGAACTGCGTGTAGACAGTTCCTTTAACATCAGAGCATCATCACTCGCAATAACGTTGTGGGTAACAGAACTTGCGACAAAAAGTCATCTCCCTGATGTGGCGCGTACACGCTCAGAGCCGGACACCGACAATACACTTGTATGTATGTACATAGTCTGTGCAATGATCACAACCTGATTACCTTGTGTATCCATGTTTGCGGTAATCATAAGAGGAAGCATTCAGTTTTAGTTTTACTTCAACCTATCCCCCATTCTTTCTCCAGGCAACCAGGGCATTCATTTCGTGTCTTAAAGGGATTCCAGGAAAATAAACACACTGAGAGATACACAGCAGCAATATTCTATTCTAATTAGAAGACACTAGGTTTGAGGAATTTCAGCGTGTTGTCCTCTCGCTCATGTGCACAATTTAGCAGGGTGCGGGTACTCTATCCCCCCCCCACACACACACACACGCGCGCCTTACCCTTAACATTATTTCAACCACCGAATTCCTTTCGACTGCGCTCCTAAAAATTACAACTGTTCTACTACATCATATGTCATCATAGATCTATTGTGGAATCCTGTGTGGGTGTAGCGTGTAACTAGCCCCCCTGTGTCAGGGAGAGGTTCTGTCATGTTTTAACTCATGTGATCGTGGTGTGTGGTGTGTCTAGCGTGTTTCCTTAACCACGTGTTTGTCAGAGAGAAGTTGTATCTTTTGATCTACAGTTCTAGAAACTAATCGAATAGTTGAATAGGTGAGGGTGCATCGACATTCACCTACGAGGGGGGGGGG